AATACACATCCAATAGAAAGGACCTTCAAGAAATGCGTCAAAACAAAGATACAATGCAATAACAGCATTCTTGGGGGGAAAAAAAAAAATTTTTCCCACCTCTCATAAAATTAGGGAATGCAGGTTCCCCATTCACTGTTTCCATAAACATGGATTATTAAAACGGTCTGAATACTACATGTGAGTGAGCACTTTGCCCTCTTTTTCTTCTTTGGAAAACTCACAGCAGCTCACCTCATTAGCCCACTAATTAAAAACAAAGACTTCCATGCAACTTAGACTTGGTGAACTCTCTTCCCTTTTTCTTGGCGTTTCTGTTAGGATGACTTTACTGCTGTTTCAACCATCGGTAGTTATTATTCATTTGAAGTCACTGCCACTCTCTATTGTGTTTAATATCTTAAAGGAATATTATTAGCTGTTACTTCAACCCAGCCGTCTCACACTCTTCAGCAAACTGCACTTTCCAACAGAAGCACCATTTTTAAGAAGTTCTAGCACATATCTTAACATTACCCTGCCTTTAATTATTAATGTTCCAAAAACCGTCAGCCTGTTTTGATTTTTTCATATATTCCACATGACAAAATTCTTGTCTTAAATTCCAGTATCTATCCCAATCTATTTTCATAACAGCAACAGTTTATTACCCAAATGTTGCTGTGCAAAATCAAGTTCTCAAAGCCCCTACAATTTAACTAAAATCAGAGGCTGAAAGAGTCAAAAGAAGGAATTAGGGATGTGAACTCTAAGAAATACGTGCAGCTACGTCCTCTGGATCAGGTATCTGATGACTTCAAATAAACGGCTACCACTGGATGAATGAATCCTTGTAAGTGTAACAATGGAAGGCATCTTAAGGGAGGCACCCTGCAGCTCCAGGAGCACTTTCATTACAGCTCATCAATGCAGCACATCAACCAACAATTAAGTTTCTCTATAAAGTGTTATTCACATTATACCTGCAAAATTGGAATGTATCTTTTACATCTCTATGGAAAAATTTTAATTTTGAAAGATGTAATCGGATAAGTTGCATTAACAACAGTATCTGGCAGCATTTTAGAGTTACACATTCTCTGCATAATTACATGCTCGAAATGCTTCCTGAGGAACTGATCTGGAGAGATTCTGCTTTTATTTTGACGATGAAAAATCCTCCCCCCTGAATCAGTGTCCTTGCTCACTTCTCATTTTTCAGTTTTATTTTTAATCAACCATTTCTGTCTTTGATTCAGTCTTGAAATCCCCTGTAATCAGCAGCACGTTCTTCTTTGGCACTATATATGTAAGCTCCTAGAGTTGACTACAGAATGCTTTTATTTCCTCACCTGGGCTGCTGTGGTGACACCATACGTCTCAACAGCCATCAGATTTATTAAACTTCTTACAGGCAAACTGAAATGAAACTGGTATTGTCTGGAGTGTATCTAATTAGGAACGCAAAACCATCCTTGCTCAAAAAATGAATGCCAGGGTCTTCTGCTCTGTGCGCTGGCAGTCGGTATCTCTAGGGGACGATGGAGTAGCTTACTATCATTTCACCAAACAGCAAAAAAAACCCTCTCATGTCAGTCTCTGAATAATGATATTCATTAAGTAGAAAGCTGAACATGTCCTTTTTAATTAACTTTTTTTGATCTCCTGAGCACTTGTCAGGGCTTTGTGATTGCTGGACTGCTGATGTACATCCAAATACAGCTGAACAAATTTCAAGCCACGTTAATTCCCAAGGCAAACACATACATTGTTCAGGCTAATGGGAATTTCAGTAGAGGTGGAGGCAGGCTATTATCCAATTGGTCATACCTCTTCACTTCTCAGAAGGAGGTGTGTCTGCTCTTTGGTACCCAAAGCTTCAGGCGCAGCCATAACTTCTGATACTTTCCTTTTTCTGGCCTTGTCAAATTGCACTAGCAAAGCAGAAGTAGAAGATGCCACAGACAGGAATCTTCATATTAATACTGACCATTTAGGTGTTGTGCAATGACTTATCAACTCGGAGATGTACTATGCACTTGCACGGTACACTTACTCTGCACCGTATGTATATTCAATCTCTTCAGAACACAGTACCTTCCCCTCATCCTTCACAAAGCAATACAGGGCATGCAACCTCCTTTTTTTTTTTTGTTTTGAGTGACTGTCCATACACTTATATACATCACAGAGGCCTATAAGAATATACACTCAGTTTCCTGCAGAGAAGTGTTGGCATCTTCACAGAGACCGACTGAAGCTTTGTTAAGGTTCCTCAGTGCATCTCCCAGGGTATTTACCAAAAAAGAGCCTTTCAATAAATGAAGGCTCAGTCATGATGAGATCACGCGGGGTTCAAGCTCAAGAGGGTCAGACATATGGAAGATTCAGATCTCACTGAGGAACAGGTAGAAACAACTTTGTAATGTTCTTAAAAAAAAAAAAAAAAGAAGAAAAAAAAAAGAAAGGAGAGTCAGTCACTGAGGGAAGGGGGGGGATGAACAACGTGGGTATTAACTAAAGCTTATCTGATGTAGGAAAAGGTCAGATCTCCTAACCAAGACCCTTAGCCAATGTTCACTGAAACAGGAAGAGATCAGTAAGACCTAGCAGCCTCAATACGGTTTGCTTTGCCAGATAAATACATCTCACGTGAACTCCTCCTACTACGGATAAGAATCTTCTATAAAGTGGAAGAACAGAAGCAACCAGTACAACCTGTGAAGAAGGGCGTCCTGGGACTGGGGTAAGCACAGTTCCACATTAGCAAATAAGGAGTCCCAGAAACTTCTAATTGACAAAGATTCTCATATAAAAACCATTTACCTATGCTGGCACTTGGCTTTCCCTGAGTAGGGCTCTTGGAATTAACCAGAGAGGAGAAGAGTGCAACGCCTTTCCTAACTGTGGAACCAGCCGCTTGGGAGGCTGCCTAGCTTGCCAATAAAAGGTCTGACACTCTTCTTCTTGTGTCTGAGGCGTAACGGTTCATCTAAGAATTACTCCGGTTCCTAGCAGGAAATAGTAAAGCCACCAAGTAACATCTGCATTCACAGTCTAACCATATGGAGTAGCTGAGATCACCCATTGTAATACTGAAAAAGTGAAGGAGGCAAACCAGCCAGTTGAATCTGCTCCGATTTACTGCTCGCCTACAGAGAAGAGGGGAGCACGCAAGCCTCCTCTATTAATGCCATACGTAGCAATGGCAGTGGGTCTCACTACATAAACATGATTTTCCTGTCAGATACTGATTTTTCCTGTTTTATCCTGGAAAGTATCTGCTGAAAAACTGTTTTTCCTGAGGTATACAGAAACAAGTTGTACAGTTTTATGACGAGCAGAGAATCTACCTCCTTTAAAATATATGGTTGTTAAAATGCATCACCGAAAAGGCCTTTTTGAACTGAAAGTGTCTCCAACTTGGACTCCTTTCAACAGGTACACAGTTTAAAGAGGCATCAAGTGGAGATATTGCTTTCATCCAGACTGCAGACACATCACATTTTGTGGGATCTGTAAAAATAATCCGACCTAGGCGGGATGGCAAGAAAAGAAAATATTTGGGAAAGGCTGCAACAGAGGAAGACTAGTCAAACGTACGTGACAGGCACAAGCAGAAGGCAGACAGACACATGAAGACTCCTTGAATACATATGGTAGAAGCTGAATGTAATTCCAATGGGATTAGGAAAGCTCCTAAATCTGATAGAAACAAATGAAAGGAAAAAATGCTGCACAGTTGCAAGTCAGGAAAACAACAGTGTTTTAAGTCTTTCAGGCAACGGCAATGAAATTGGATGGTATTAGTTGAACCTTGCTTCATGCACTCAGGTGCTGAACACCACAAGCAGGTCAGGCTTCAGTGAACTCTTTAGATATTGTAAATCCTTATCTAATTTTTAATGAACCCGTATAAAAGCACATCTGGGCAACCGCTCCAAGACAGAACCATTTAAGATCAATTAACTTCACTAACTTGTAGGTGAAGTGAAAGCAAAGCGTACCATACAACAGTGTTTCAGGATTTCTGTTCAGTGTATACACAATATCATAAATGACAACCGCAGTAAGGACTGGACCTTTTAAAGATTCTGCACACTGAATTCCTACTGAAACTGTTCAACTTACATATCACAATATTTTAAGAGGAGACTCACCTTTATTTTCCATACTAGCCAGCAGTACACGTTTACAGTTAAAAGAAAGAAGAATGTTTCTTTCGACTCAACTGCAGAAGACAGTACTTCTTTGAAAACATATCTACACTTTTATTAATGTTTAATTTTATTCCTAAAAACTTACTGAACATAAGGATCCTATAGCTCAGTGGTTATCTGGCATCATTTGAAATGGGATTTGTGGACCGAAGATATTTGGGGGAAATTCTGGATCTGACAAAAGTCCGTGTGTTTCCAATTTTAAAAATTTGCTCTTCTGAAACCTTCTCATGAACTACTGGTTAAGCACTTGGATAATCCATCATTTTTTAAGGAGGTGGATTCAATCATACTGATAGAAATCAGGTTGTTAAGTGTTACAGTTTGAAGTCAACAAAACTTCAACAGGAGTTTAATAGGATCACCAGAATATCCTCTCTATTCCTACATCTCATCGAATAAGGTTGAGGGCAGAACAACAACTTTGTCAAGTATTCCAGATAGTCCAGTCTTTCAAAATTCCAGATGTTTTAGAACAATTTCAGGTAGGTTTACAGTTAATCACGTATGAAGTAAATCAAGATCTTTATCAACCCGACTTACCTAAATACTTTTAAAGAACAAAGCACATTTTTCTCAGATGTTCTGATATGGTACCCTTGTTCTGTACAGAGCAGAATTCCGGCCTCCTTGAGTTATCATCATGTGTATCCCAAGTAACCCAAAATCCCCCTATCAGTTCAATGTGGATATGAGCTTTGGGGCATACTTGACATACATAGTTCGACACTCTCCTGAGAATGCCTTAATGTCCTGAATTGTCCTATAGGGGAATATTAAACGAATAAATCAAAAACTTACCCGAATCACCATGACTGAGCATCTGATATTATGAATTGTATCATAGACCTTCTTAGAAACGTCCACAAACTGATTATCATCGAACAGATGCATTTTGTTCTTGTTTAAGCTCTCCAACGCAGTATTTACTTGACTAATAAACTCTGGAATCACTATTTAAAAAAAAACCAAACACATACAAACAAAATCCAGTTAGCATAAAAAGGATAAAATATATCATTTTTATTTCTGGCAAATTCCCAGTTACACTGATCAAAACTTGATTAATGAGATAAAAGAGCATGACAGTGACAACGTGGTTATAAACACGTGGAAAACCGTTTGTAATTTTTATCACACGGTGCTTGGTGTGCACTTAAGTTGTGGATGGCGATAGAGTACAACAAAGGAGAGGAAACTTTCCCCAAGAAGGGCTTGGGAGCAGTAGCTGCTAAAACTTTCCACTGACTTCAACAGTAATCTTGCCCACAGAATCAGGACTGGCTATCTTGATTCAAGGCTGGAACTACTACTCAACAGAGAAAATCCTGCTGTTTCAGAATCTGCTTTCATTCTGAACTGTGACAAAATTAGGCAAAGACGGATGTTTTTCCTCAAACTAAACAGCACCAAAACTATAACTTGGACTTGCCAAGGCAGTCTCCCCTTGTTTTATTGAATCATGCAGAAATAGTTCATTTTGAGTCGGTTTGATGTTAATCTGCGTTTGACCCAGAATCTCCGGAGAATTTTTGTTCTGGGGCTTCACAGGCCCATTTTGCCTTGTGACCTGGTAGCACTGTATCTCCCTTAATCCTTCACAGCAGTTCAAAGCAAAAGAAAGAAAACCCTTCACTACGGAAGATTTTATTTTCTCCGCCCGCTTTCCTTTGCGATGCACAAAATAGAAAGTACACCCCGAAAATACGCCGCACACAAGCAACTCAAACAAATACAGATAAAACTCATCTGAAATGAAAATTTTTCAAGCACTCTTTTCCTATTACTTAGAGGCTGAAGACACAGGACAATTTGAGAGGAAAGAGAGAGCAATCAATTTGTGTAATCTTTATTATGAATTACATATACCTTACAAAAGAAAAGCTACATTTAGGCAATGTGTTGGTCTGAAACATGAATATAAAATTCTTTCCGGCCCTTCTTCCACAAACCAACAGAGAGCCAAAAATCTACCTGTCTTTCTTGGTTTGTAATTCATAAATGCATACCACATGAAAGCAATGGTATCAACATCTTACATGTAAATCATCTCCAGCAAATTCTGAAGTACGTGATCAATCCTTATGCAAACTTCAGCTGAAGTCAACAGGACTTCTGAATTAGAAACTCTGGCAACAGATACTTTAACATGAGCAGACATGACCTGATGATACTTCAACCCCTGACTTCCCACGGAAATTTCAAAACATAACACCGCAGACAGTTAAATCTGCTCTTAAATTACAGTAACTTCACTGTCATAGAGGTCAAGCTATGCTCCGTCTAGAGTACGGTTTCGTCATGTGCCAGTACTCAGAAGTAACAAACTTCAGTTAATTTAGTGGTAGCGGGAAGGTTCACTTGCTTCTGTAAAATAGCTCCTCCATCTACAAATGTGAGACCAGCAGATGCCATTTAGTTTGAAAAATAGGAAATTTAAGTTCCTTTCTTCCCTCTTCAGATTATCACTTGAATTACTCTGGCCTTCCAGAAAGGTCAATGAGAAGCACAGGTTTTTAAATTGTACTGAAAGAAGAGGTACATTTTTCATCAGCAACGAAATGGAATACTTCAGAGAGAGAGAGCACATAGTGCACTTTAAAACCTATATATTTTTTAAAGAAACCCAAATGCCATATGGTTTCAGAAGACAATTTGTTCTGTTAAACAACGAGCACAGCTCGTAGGTTATTAAAATAATGGTAAGTGTAGCAATTTTAAACTAAACAGTCACCTCATATAACATTTACAGGAAATTCAACATTCAGCTCTTCGCAGCCTTGGCTGCGAAGAAGAGCTTAGAAAGTTTCCAAGAATTCAAAATCTCTACTGGTATGGTCAAAACCAACAAGTGTTTTCCAGGACCTCTCTTCTCAGGCCATTGTACTTGTTTTCTTTATTGCATTATTGTAAAATACAGATTGCCTGCTTACCAGCAGCATTTGCTGCAGCACAACTGCCTGCTGCCCTCTTCTTGTACTAGACAGGCTATTTCGTTTAACTGTTGAAGCTGCATCCTGCACTCATCTGCTTTCCATATGCTTATTACTGTCCTCTTCACGGCTCTTTCCAAAGCCGGACTCGTTATCTCAGTGCTTTTGATTTTCTGAACAAATTCTGAACGTATCACTGACGAAAGACAACTTCAAGCAAATGTATCCCTTCTAGCTTAAACGCTATTGGTGGAATTACTGCTCAACTATAGACTGCATTTCATTATAAAAATATTATCTCAATGGTCGCACTTAGATAAGAAACAACTATCTGTTTTTAAGACAGTTACTTTCCATCAGTATCATTTGCACACGCAGGCAATTAAAATAGACAACAATTAAAATTATACCTCAAATATATGTATGCAACACCCTGCTAATGAAACATACACATTTTCTGGTAGTTCACTTGCTGCTACAAAAGCTATCAAACCCTGTCTCGGATCGGTTTATTCCCTCAGATCCGTGACTCAGGTCTTGATTGTGTATGATTTATCTTATTTTGAGTTCCCAACAAAACGACTACTCAACAAGTGGGTCTTGTGGATACACGAGTTCTTTTCCGTGGATGACTGGAATCGGTAATACGCTGCAAGGGCGCATAAGCACGTGAACCCAAGCTGAGAGCTGATCTTCTATACTGCCTTTCTCCTTCCCTCCCTTTTTGTGCCAGCAAAGGAGTTGCCTATACGGGAGGCTGCTTCACACACCCTCAAATAGCCCAGGTATCACTCTGAAATGAACACTGCTTTATGCAGACTCTAATTACATTAACAATGTGCATCTCTGCTGCATTCTGCTTTACTTCTCTAGGCAAACTAAAAATAGAGAAAAAGGGCTACAGGGTAATAACGCTGAAATAGACTGATTTTTTCAATTGTTCTAAAGCCAAGAAAAATAAAAGGCGTAAGTAAATAAAGGTGTAATAAAGGTGTAAGTAAATACAACAATTTCAAGCACTGTGCAATTAAACCTATCTTTGTATTTTAAGCTACTAACACAAACATCTTGAAAAGTCTTATTACGGTTTAGGGATTTCTTTAAATTAACACAATTTTTGAAGAAAGCATTACAATTTTTATTTAGATTTTTGTATTATTTTCCATTTTTTCCCCCAATCAAAACCATGAACAAATTTCAACTTGAACATCTGGAATCCTGCCTCTCCTCTTCATGTTTTGGAAAATACCAATACTGCTCATAATCATAACTTTGAAAGTCCCCCAAATCCAAACTAATTTACAGATTTGATGATTCCAAAATCACGTTTTGTGCTCTTCCTGAAGTTAAGCTTCTCATTTTAAATTTCATCATGTCTTCCCCAATTCTCCTCTTGTTTTAAATAATAATTGTTTCAGCCTTTCCTTGCAGGCCACGTCTTCTAGATCTCGTAATAATTTTTGCTTGACCTTCTCATTTTCGACCAAAAAACAACTAATGAATCCTATCTGTAGTCTACAGGCAGTCACAGCCGAGCTCTTCATTCAGAGGCTACCACTTCCGCATAGCGCAATCACATCAGGTAACCCAGGAATGTAAACTTCGCTAATCACTTCATTACAACCTAGCAACCTATGCCTGTTATTTTTAGTGTCCAAATCATCCGGACAACAGGGTTCCAGCTTTGTAGAAGGCCAGTGCTCAACAGGTGAAACTATCAGTCCAACTATTGGTAGCTTTTAATGAACTCGGGCTAAGTGATCAACATCATCGATCAGCATAACTCAAAGAGCAACAATCTCCACAGCTAAAATCTCTGACACCAATGCAACGCTTGACTAAAGAGTGCCTTAACAAAATCAATCTACTGCAGGTACGGAATTATGAAAGCGTGGCATCAGAGTAAAAACGCAATCTAAAGAAACTTACACAGGCCATGCTGGACTTCAAAATAATCCCTAGAACAGGTTTCAGTGTTACTGATATGTCCTAGAACTCATCAAAAATACTGTTTTTTTCCATATTTTTTCCATTTTTTTTCAATTTAAAATATATTATGGTTTATGTATTTGACAAAAGGCAAAAATTATTAAAATATTTTCGCAAAAAATCGAAACACAAGTTACTTTTCACTGTTCTTATACTCAAGTACTGGAAACAAGACAAGGCTGTGCCCTGCCATCTCTGTCAGTTTACTCCCCTGGTCCTAGCCCTTGTGCTTATGCCGGAAAGAACTGAGCAAAGTACCGTTCTCCCTCTTAGCTCCTCTCAACTGAGGAAGTCGCAGTTTCTCAAGGATGTCAAGGGAGAGCAAGTGTGGTGGATTGTGCATGTACATACAGACAGCTTAATTCACGAAAAAGAATTAGCGGTAAATAACTCGCCTTTCACCTGCAATGCTTGTCTATAAGTATGTACATTGTCAGCATATATACACATACCATGTATCCCACTAGAATGAATACTGAAAACTTCTCTTCCAAAAGCAGCTTTGGGAAACTGGAGTGACAACACTGTGCCCACTTGAATAAACGAAGCTCTCTGGGTCAGACCTACAGATCTCAGCTACAGAGAGACTGTGCAAAACAGTCATAGAAAATTCTTGAACTCTGGTTCACTGACCTTTCACAGCAAAGGAGAAGACTCCTTGTTGGCAGTCAGGTATCCAGTGAGAAATATTCTAATCTGAAATAACCGAACCAGGGGACTGCTTGGTAGAACATCTGAAAAAATGGGCAATCTTCCTAAAACAGTTTCTCCAGTCAATATAAAAGATACAGGATACCTAGAGTGAATAAAACGGTTTCAACTGAAGAAATAAACAGCTTAGAGTAAAAATTAAATGAAGGCTACTATCTTAATTGAACTTCTAATATCAAATTCAATAACAACTCAGGGAGGAATGAAAGAGAACGGTATAAAAGCAGGATCTGTCCTAAGATCTGGAATCTCACTCTCCCACTCTGTTAGCTGAAGTACGTGCTATGGAAAAAAAAAAAAAACTGCTTTAATCAAAAATG